GGTTAGTTCCATCATAAAGTTCTCCACGTTGGCAAATTTCTCCCAATACTAGGCCTAGGTGTTCCCTTGTCTTCTGGATTTGGTTAAAAATCACAAGACTACTGAGTTGGACATGAGTAGTCGTGAACACAAAAAATCGGATTGGTTGTTAAATAAAATAAAAATATAGAGAGTGTCCTCAGTGGTAGACGGATCATGGGTTCCTTTGCAGTCAGGTTAACCGAGGGAGGTTTTTGCTGTTTTATTCTCCATGCAACTATAATGCGGGTTAGTCTCATCAAAAAAGTCCGTCATGGAGGCAAAATTTCTCCGAATATTTGATAAACAGGGGTTCCCTTGTCATCTGTATTGGGTTCAAAATTACAAGACTACAGAGTTGAACATTAGTAGTTGTAAACCCTGAAATTGGATCGGCTGTTCAACGACAGTAATAAAATAAAATACTGCGAAGGACAGTTCGAGGATAAATCCAGGGTAAAAGCGAGATTCAAACACGCAAACTCTACGCTTAGATCCCCAATATTCAAATATCGATATATTATAATTTTTTTAGTCGAATTAATTACTGATAAATATGGAAAAAAAATTGAAAAAACGCAAAAATGGGTACTCAGCTAGTAATAGATAATAAAAAAAATGAATTCATGCTCTATTATGCCTTTAATAAAATAATAAGCAAATTCCCCAAAGAAAAATTAATCAAGAAAAGGAAAATATTTAACAGATCATCATTCGAGGGCACTTTGATAACTGTAGCAACATTTAAGTTATATAAGATTGACTCAAACTTGCTGAAGAATTTGGTTATTATTTATTAGATCTGCAGGTTTGTGTGCTCAATTTAGGCTGGGAAGATTTCCGTACCGTGATCGAATAATCGCTATGTCTTGGCCACTTCAGGGCAGCGGACTGCGAGAAACTAAAAGAAACGTCGTAAAATGAGACTAACTCGAAGGGTGTAACTCATAGCCACTCCCAAGCAAACATTTACATGTTTTTCTTAATAATTTTTCCCATTAAAATCAATTTGGCTCCTTGGAGATCGTAGTTGGCGTTTTAGATCACGATACGGAAATATCCCCTTTATTCTTATTATACCTTTGTTAAATAGAGAGACAGATAGCTCAATACAGAGAAGTTGGAGCACGGTGGCTCCGGGGATAGAGTTTTTGACTTCCAATAAGGTGAACCGGGTTCGAATCCCGACAATGGCTTATTGATTCGAGATCTGCACCCGGATCGCACCAACCATAGAGCTGATGTAACGTATCCTCAGTAGTAGACGGACCATGGGTTAGATTCAATTCGTCGTCAGGAAAAACAAAACTGTGGGAGTTTTTCGTGGATTTCCTTTCCATGTAATTCAAATGCGGGTTAGTTCCATCATAAAGTCCTCCACGTAGGCAAATTTCTTCCAATACTAGGCCTAGGTGTTCTCTTGTCTTCTGGATTTGGTTAAAAAATTACAAGACTACTGAGTTGGACACGAGTAGTCGTGAACACAAAAAATCGGATCGGTTGTTAAATAAAATATAGAGAGTGTCCTCAGTGGTAGACGGATCATGGGTTCCTTTGCAGTCAGGCTAACCGTGGGAGGTTTTTGCTGTTTTATTCTCCATGCAACTATAATGCAGGTTAGTTTCATCGAAAAAGTCCGTCATGGAGGCAAAATTTCTCCGAATATTTGATCCAGGGGTTCCCTCGTCATCTGTATTGGGTTCAAAATTACAAGGCTACGGAGTTGAACATCCACATTCGTAAACACCACGAAAAAAATTGGGTCGGCTGTTCAACGACCGCTATAATACAGAGAAGGGTGGCTGAGAGNAAACAGTGCTTAACATTCGAGGAACCAGTTTATTTGTTTATTTATTTTCTTGATAAATTTGTGTGTATTGAGTAATACTTAGCTTTGTTAATCTGAAATGTTCTAATGTTTTTAAACATTACTTCTCAGTATTCCAGTTGCTATTTTTAATTGAAATATTATCTTTATTTCATTGTTTTGTAACTGTTATATTACAAAGTCTATGGTGTTCATTCTAGACCTTAAAAAGGGCATTAGAAACTGGAAAGACCCCCTAAAAAAGGGCACCCATCATAAAAAAAAGCATTATGTACAAATATTTGCTTGACTTTTAAAACACTCAAAATATACAAAGTTTATCACTAAAAAACTTTTTTTTAGCGATAATTAGTTTAAATTAAAAAAAAAATAGTTCCTAAGTTAAATTGGTACTTTCTAGAAATTGGTTTTAAAGTGAGCTTATTATCAAATTTCGAAGCTCATAAAAAAATATCGATATGGTTTGAGAGTTGGTTGGTGTAAAATGTACAGTTTTGCAAAATCCTCAGATTTTTTTTTTTTTTCATGTTGATAGCTATGCTTATTTATGTACTTAATTTAAAATATTTTTTCTTTCTTATCTAGATGATGAAATTGTTGGACATCCTTGAAATTCTTTTGGAAGCTGAAGATTGCAAACAAGAAAGAATTGATGGTGATATCATTTTTAGTCAAAAACTAGAGGCTATCAGCTGATCTAATGGTTAGTTAAAATTAACAATAAACTTAATTTTTACATACAATTTATGAACTTTGATTATATTAGAGAGATGATTGTGCTCTGGAAAAAGTACAGATTTTCCTCTTGTATTTTAAAGTTTCCTTCTTGAGGTAAATGCTTAGAAAAAAAGACTCACAAGAATTTACAGTAGGTAGTTAAAGGCATTTACATAATAAAATATTTACATAATTAAAAAATAACTTAAGCCAATAATTCTCTTTCTTGTGTGTTTTAAAATTTATAATAACTACTGAAACCAAACTTTAAATTTATTAATTGATAATGAATGAGTTCTTATATGACAAGCCTACAATGTGAATTTTTAACATGTGGGTCATTTATTAATTTATTTTTGTAACATAATAGACCTGCTAAATGTAACTAAGGTGCTGGTTTTCAGTTTTGCTACCTAAATGTTTCATTTACTACCTACCTTTAACTACCTTGCATCACCTTTTATATTTTTAACATTCTATTATGTAAACACTTTTTAAATGGTATAGTTATATATTGATCAATTATCGTTTGTTAAAAGTTTAAAATCATCCTATCATTAATTTTACTTAGTGTTAAATTCTTCTAGTCTATTTCTTTATAACAGGAATTAGAAAAGTACTATGAGCATTGTTGTAAGTAGGGTGTCAGCACTGTAAAATGCATATTTATCTACTGCCTAAATTTAATAGAATATTAAGTCATATCTGTAAAATACGCTACAGCAGATAAGATACTGTAAAATTTGTATTTAACTATTTAGATATTATACTATATAATACCCTGGGTATTTACCTGGGTAAATACTTAAAATTCATAAATACCTGGAACCCTACCATGAGCTCCATGGAATGAAATTCCATCTGGGAATGACGTCACGTTCCAACGGGAATTATTTCCCCCCACCACGAACACCTTGGAAAGAGTTTCTTGGCAAGAAACAACCGGTTTTCTGCCCAGAATCCTCATTCTTGGAGGGAATGGTGAATTTTTGAGAACTAAATACGATATTTCGCCGATGAATGTCTTAATTATTTTCTATTTCATAAGGGAAGATTTCAAAATATCTAAAAGATAAGCAAGCCCGAGCCATTTTCAAGACGATTATTATGAGATGTTTGCTGCCAAACTCAAAAAGAAAATCTAAAGTAAATTGTGTGATTGGTTAAATTTTAGCCACGCCCTGAGAGCGAGTTATCGTGGAGTGTCTGATTCCAAGGGAGTGTTCATGGTACGGTATTGAAGGTTCATGGAACCAAACTTTCCCAGTTTCACTTCTTAATACAAAAAAATTTATTTCTTATTTGTTTTAAAGTATGCTTGTTAAAAAACTAATGATTTAAAAAACTAGAAGGCTCTGCCTTTTGTTCACCAACCCTCGTGGTTCCTTCTCATTAATCATTGCAGATAAAAGGTTTATCTTCCATTTTTTTCTTTTTTTTTTACAAAAATTACGATTGAATTGTACTTATGATAGTATAGTATATCATAATATACTATCACCAATAATATTATATGATATATAGTTTTGTATCATATAATTTTACATTATCATACAAAATTATATGATAGTTCTATATCATATAATTTTTATATATATGCGCAGTAGAAGTGCGCAATTAATTAAAATCTTACGTAAGAAAGCTAACGTGCGAAATCTCCCTATTGCTGTTGTTGTAGTTCATTTACATCGCACTAGAGCTGCACAATGGGCTTTTGGTGACGGTTTAAGAAACATCCCTGAGGTTGATCCGAAGACATGCCATTACGATTTTGATCTTCTGCAGAGGAGATGGCATCCCCGCTACACTTTACAGTAGCAGTGTTTAACGAACGAGAACCAATACCTCATATCCTCGATCCCTACGCAGACTGTAGTCACCCACCCTCACACAGACCGCAGCCAGTGATGCTTGACTTCGGTGATCTGGTGGGAACCGTGTCTTAACAAATCTCCCTATTGAGTCATATTTCAAAGTAGATCTCTAAACATAGTTTTAATCTCAAAATTTTCAAAAAAAAATTTTCAGCCGTTTTTTTTTTTTTTTTTTTTTTTTTTTTTTTTTTTTTTTTTTTNTTTTTCTTCTGAAAATCTGTCATATGTCGACATTGGTCATTGGTCCATTTCACTTGAAATAAACTCATGTGTTTTTTCTTCCTCATTCAAAATGAGAAAATATTGCACATGATATTAGAATGTGAATTCTTTTCATATGCAGATGAAAATGATGAATACAAATCGGGGTTTTTAGCTAATCACGATGCGTGATTTTTAAATTGCGAGAAGAATCAAAACGTATGATTTTTAAAATGCGTAAATACGAATCGCGATATAGCATTTCTGAATCATGAGAATACAAATAACTTGATTTGCTACAAAATCGGCGCAAACAAACCACGTCATGGTTGGATATCTAAATGAGCGATTCGTTCTAATAATATCGAAATTTTATAAACATCGTGGAAATACGTCATTTTAATTTGCGATAAAGTTTGCGCAAATAAAGTACGTCGAAAACGAGTTTATTTAAATGCCCCATTTCAAACTTTCAAAACGTTAAATAAATTTTTAAAATAATTGCGATTTCAGAAACTGCGTGAAAATGGGTAGCAATAACTACGGAAAAGTCATTGAATTTACCATTAACCCACACACATGAACAGCGTCAAAAGTGATAACTAGAATTCAAAATTCGTGTATCGTAATAATGTCGTTTTGAAAATATGGTATTTTCAAAACTATGCGTAAATCCGTAGGGTTGAAAATCGAAAAAAAGAGATCGAAAAACGACATTGATTGAGATTGGGTGTGTTAATAACCTTACTAAGCAATTACTGATTTTTTTTTTTTTTTATT